GGAACCCATTTTTTTTTTACAGTCTACCTTATAGACGCATAGTATAATAATATGAACGCCCATAAAAAGCATTTAGCTTTTTTAACAATATAGGTACATGCGACTATGCGAGTATACGACATAACTACAACGACTAACCTACGTCCCACATAATATTACGCATTTCCGTATAACATTTGCAATGAATACTCTTATTGCTTAGTTGTTACTATAATAAGTAATAAACTAATAACTAATAATAAATAATAACTATAATACGAGATGTGTTATATCAATGTTTGAGGGTTACACGAAGAAGTATTACTATAGGAATAGGAGTAGGATTTAAAATTAATTTTTTTATATATTATTGAAGTGATAATTAATGATAAATACAACACGTCATCACAATAAAATATAATACAATTACAAGGCACATGCCACTAAATTATCAAATAATATTTAAAATTTAAATGTTATAATAAAATATTACAATTAAGAGAAGCCTTCAATTTATTAAAATCCTACTACACAGTTGTAAGTATATTTGTTATAATTGTTTCGAAACTCTAGGTACCTATAGCAATAACCAACAACCGTGTTAAAAAATGTAATAATAATTAGATTTTTTTAAATGATAATCACTAATTAGTAATTACATTTGTTTTTTAATGTAATGCTTGTACAAAAATATCCCGTCAAGAAAGAAAAACCATTGGTATACCAAACGAATATTAATTTAGAATATTTATACAGTACTCTTATCAGTGGTATACATCTATATTATTCTATATTTTAACTGTGGTTCATTGAATAAGTAGGCAATTTCTACATACAGTTCGTGAACAAGAAATACAAGAATAGAGTGAAAGGAACTATAATAGAAGTTTCATCTTAGACACTGAAAAGACACTTTTTTCTACCTCAGATGTGTCTACTGTCTAATAATAAATTATATTCTCCAGGACTTTTGTCTTTTGGCATCCATTTCGACAGCGTGCCAACCCAGATGTTTACCAAGCACAGGTTTAATAAACTCAAAACAAATCATTACGTTTGTCGCTTGGTAGGTACCTACTTTTGTTGAGATGTTTAATGTTTATATATTTTTTTTAACACAAATAATATACAAAATATATTGTAAATATATTATTCTATAATTATATAGATGTTGTCGATCCATTTTCTTTTGTCAGGAAAATAATATGTTATAGAAACTTTTGAAATATAATACTATTATTGTTGGGCAGCCCATTAATTTTCAATTTTAATACACTTATAATATAATAATGTAGGTATATATTTTGATCTTCGATACTATTTATTACAATATTTTATAGGTGTAGTACACCAATACAGTAGGTACTACCTATTGTGATGATCTGTCAATCTGTCATTCATGTTCACCCGTTACTTTTCACTTGTTGTTTTTCAACAATCGTCTATTGAATGTTTTTCATTGGTACGAAACGGACCAACATTATGTAATAATATTAATAATAACGTATTTATATTATTATTTATACATAATATTATTTTAAAAATTTATCGGCTTAGATTTTTAAATATTATATATCATTGAATCGTTTTAAAAATAATAAATTCTGCAAGGTTATTTTTTATAATACCTTGAAAGGTTGAAAGTGATTTTACTTTTTTAATACCTACGCATTAAATTACTTAATGCGATACCTACTGAGTAGGATAGGCCAGTTTTCAGTAGATGTGGTTTTACTATTAATGTAAGGCCTATTGCTTTATAGCTAATGAATATTAAATAATGTTTTATTTGATTAGAAATTCATATTTCATAAAATTAATTTTAAAACGTTATTAATCACGTTAATATTCACTGGGACTAGGTATACATAATAAATAATAATATTATATAGAGTAATCGTGTAGATAACAACAATATTAAGAGGACGCTACACCCGCATGTGTTGTCTCCGTCTTACACACGTACGACATAGACAAAACGCGTTTAGGCAGTCTGAGTATAACTCGCTCAATTTTGGTTCTAGAGTAAAAATGCCTATTATGAAATTGAATTATGATAATATTTCTAAGGGCAAGACGCTGCGGTTTTTCCATTATACCCAATATAACGTTCATTATATCGTTTAGAAATAGAAAAAATTTCACCATTTTTAAAATACCTTTGACTTTTAAAAAATTAAATTTTTTAAAAAAACCGCAGCGTCTTGCCCTTAGAAATATTATCACAATTCAATTTCATAATAGGTATTTCTACTCTAGAACCAAAATTGAGCGAGTTATACTCAGACTGCCTAAACGCGTTTTGTCTATGTCGTACGTGTGTAAGACGGAGACAACACATGCGGGTGTAGCGTCCTCTTAAAGGAAAATAATATGGTCGGGCAATTTATTGTTACTATTTACTAATATGATTAATGAATAATGATAAGTGTGTAGTTGTCAATTGTCATTGTCATAATATAGTGGTATGTCAGTTAGACTTAATAATGATGAAAAAATGAGTGTTGTACAGACGTAGTTACAGATTTGCAGTACCTACTATGTATGTACATATTTGATTAAATACTTCAATACTTGGACGCGTTAGATATAACTATTATGGTGAACTAACAAGTAACAACAAGTCCTAGGAAAGAAGTATGTGATTAAAAAGTCAACAGTAAAAAATTCTGAAGCCAAAAAGTTATAACTTATATCATATAAGGAAAGTATTAGGTTTAATGACAAATACAATTAATATTGCAATTATAAAATAATATTCCTAGTATTAGTATAAAATGTAATTAAATTATTTACCTGACAAAATTAACAAATAGTATAATATTAGTATGGTAGGTACTAATATCGATATTTCCACACTTTAGACTTAAATAGAAATTATTGTTCTATACAATGTTTGTTGTTTTTGTATAAAAAATAATTATTCGTTATTACGGTACTCCGTGGAAACTGGAAGTCATAATTATTATTGAATTTTTATTTTTAAATATTATTATAATATTATATTATATACCCAGGGCCGTCCTCAAGATTTTCGAGGCCCAGGGCGAAAACCAATCTTACCACTTTTTTCAAAAGCGAGGCCTCCAATTTAAAGCCTGGATTAAAGGGGGGCGCGGTCCCGGGGCCCATTGATTTTGAGGGCCCATCTTTATCCCCAAAATATATTTTTTAACTCTTCCAATAAAGCTTTCAATAAAAAAAAGTTATGGAAGTAGGTAGGTACAGTATGTAAATTATTATTAATAATTATAAAATTACTATAAATAATGAACTATGTTTGCTTCTTTTTGAACATTTTAGATTACCTATTTAACCTATTTAAGTATATATAAAAAGGTAGGTAGTTATAAGAAAAAAATATTTAGTTTTGTAAATTAGGTATTTCAGTTAAAAGTATTAATGCATATTATATTAAACTTTAGAGGACCATAGTTAATAACCTAGTGAACCAAAATTGATCATTTGACTGTCAAAATGTTCAAAAAAAAGCTTTACCGGAATACCTAATAATATAAAGTCGTTATTATAATAATACAATTATTACTGTATACAAAATATTATATATGACGAACAAAAAAAAAATAATGCTTCTAATATTAGTTATACTTATATTATATGATAAATAAATTATTTAAGAAATATACTCATGTCAGCAAATTCCCCCCAAAAAAATAACTTTGGAAAAAGTTATTACGTTCCAAATTCAGTTAATCAAACAAATATTGATATTTTAAAAAATTCTAAAAAACTAACTACTTGACTTAGATACATGTTTTTACTATCAAAATTGTTCTTATAATCAGATTCACAAATTGGCTTTTTTGAATATAATATCCAAACAAATTTAAATCAAATTTTCACTGTTAAAAATAAAAATAATTTTTTATATAACAATATATGTGTAGTGCAAGTGACTATAAATTATATATAAAAAAAATTGAAATATTGATTAGAACAAAAGTTATTCTAAAAGTCAGTTCTATCTGTTACAACCTGTATAATACCGGACTGTTTAATCTATGATTCAACTATTATAGGCCAAAATTAAAATAGTATGAAGCAAGTGGCTTGAGTAGGTACCTACAAATATTATGGATAATAATACAATGTATTAAATACATCATAATATTATGAACTATAAAAAAATAGCACTAAGTCTGAGTAGATTTGTCTGACAAAACGCAAGTTAATTTTGTATTTATTAAATTGTAGTGTTGTACTTCCACTTTCCATATTTAAATTCAAACCCTGCACTCTGTAGTATTTTTGTAAATAAAACAGTGTTGAGAGTTGTTGTAACCTCGTATTGCGTAATGAGTGCAAAACTGCATAGGTATTAGACACAATAATAATATGTAACTGATTAACTATATAAGGTGACTTATTAATTATCAGCGTTCGTAACGAGCAAAAGCAGTCGTACGCGTAAAACCAAGATTCCTAAAAGTGTGACACGATGGTGATCACTAAAGACCGGATTTATATTCTCTCAAAATACCCAAAATATGATGCTAATATTCTCTAAAAAACCTTCAAATATTCTCATTATATTCTCTCAAAAATTTAAAAAATATGCAAAAATAATAAAAAAAACATCATTATATGCTTTAATATGCATTTATTTTTTAAAGTTTTATTTTCAACTATATTTTTATAGTGAGATATTAATTAGGTATTAAGAGTTGCATATTATACCTAATGACTGATCACTGATCACCATTATAATATTTTGTCGACATTAAATTCATCAAATTCCAACGGGCAAATGGCCGAACGAAATCAAAAGTTGACCGTTAAAAACTCAGTTAAAGGCACTGAACTCTATAGTATAGAGTGTTCAGTGGTCTCAAAGGTTATTTAGTTCGGTTCCGATAAGAGCCGCGCCGACATCGTCTTACCGAGTCATTCGAAACGGGAAACGAAACGGCGATAATACGTCGGGGCGAGGCACTAGAGTATTGGCTGGTAAACGAGACAGACAAACTGCCGAGGGAGATGGAGCGAGAGCGATAAAAAAATTAAAAAGGAAATAATTTAACGGACTTTTCGGGCGGGCGGTGCGGGGTACGTGCATTGCGTGTGCGTCGGTGATTCACGGGCAAGCGGTGCGGATGTGGTGGGAAGCGTAGGCACCGCATTGCCGGTGTGCCGAACAGCGCGTCGTCGATCTGCAGACGAGTTTCGAGCATACAACACGGGCACCGTCGGCCATTGGACGTCAATTTGTGTTTGGACGTGAACGAAGCCGCTTCGATCGCTTCTTGTCTCGACATAAAAAAACTCCAAGTTTTTTACTTCAACAATTCGTTCCTATCCAACGACAACACTCAAACTTCAAAATGGTAAGTAAACGACATTTGATCTAACGCAATATCATAATATTATAATAATATAATAATTTCCGTCGTGGTCGTTATTCGTTTTAAACATTTATGCACATCGTGTGTCGACGGTTAACACGCCATCTTGACACGTTCGCTTCTCGGGGCCGGCGGCCGGTCAACAATCACCGTTGCCGCGTTTTCCCGTATATTTTCCGCCGGAGATTCGTTCGCTGGTCCTCGCAGTCACCTTTTTTCCGTCGGCCGACATCCGGACCAGACCGCGACGGGATGGGCGTGACCGGAACTCGGCACTGAAAACCGTTAAGAGGACGCTACACCCGCATGTGTTGTCTCCGTCTTACACACGTACGACATAGACAAAATGCGTTTAGGCAGTCTGAGTATAACTCGCTCAATTTTGGTTCTAGAGTAAAAATACCTATTATGAAATTGAATTGTGATAATATTTCTAAGGGCAAGACGCTGCGGTTTTTTTAAAAAATTTAATTTTTTAAAAGTCAAAGGTATTTTAAAAATGGTGAATTTTTTTCTATTTCTATACGATATAATGAACGTTATATTGGGTATAATGGAAAAACCGCAGCGTCTTGCCCTTAGAAATATTATCACAATTCAATTTCATAATAGGCATTTTTACTCTAGAACCAAAATTGAGCGAGTTATACTCAGACTGCCTAAACGCGTTTTGTCTATGTCGTACGTGTGTAAGACGGAGACAACACATGCGGGTGTAGCGTCCTCTTAACCGCCAGCGTCTTCTCTTTACGACCGTTCCTATGACGTGGCGTTTTCTAAACCGGACGTGACCGTAATTACGAGAATTGCATTTTTTACCAACCCACTTCGATCTCTTAGGAAAATTCTAAAAAGTTATTGAACGCTGGTAATTCCCTCTTTTCGATTGTTTTTGAGGACCGGTTTCATGACAAAATCCGATGACGGTTTTTTCGTTGTTGTGTTAACCACTGACGTGTGAAGTCCCATCAAAGTGAGTGACCGTCGGCAAGGGCGTTGTCTTCGTCATATTAATTCACTCTGTAGGGGGTTAGTGTCTATTTTATGACTAGTTATATAATAATATATTATATTATTATTATTATTAATAATAATTATTTATTGTTCCCGATTCTAAAGAATGGTTTGAAAGTTTCGGCCTGCACATGAGAGAAGAGTAGCAGTTTGATATAGTATTATAATAAGACCCGACTGTAGTGCCGATGAATGTGTTTGTCCACAATTATTTGAATTACCGATCTGCTAGATAGGATCAAATTGATTTTTTTTCTTAAACATAATTTTATTATAAAACACTAGTCTTTCTCAGTGGGGCCCATAAATCTTTTCAATATTAATTTAAATAAAATTATTATTTATTAGGTACCTAGGTATACCATAAGAAGTATTTGTAATTATTGAAGATAAATTATTTTTGAATGTAGGTCCTTAGGAATTTAATTCACCTTATTTCCTAGGTACTTTATCCTACATTTTTAATCTTGGTAAGGTACATAATTAAAATATTACATCTTGTTAACTAACGAATTATGAATTATTGGTAGGTATTATTAATTATTAGCATCTTAATTTATACATTTGATATACTTTCCGAGTTCCCAGCATTTTTATTTTATTCGTCAAATTTACCTATTAGGTATTTTAAACTAAACATTTCAATTACTTATTTGTAAATAGGTACTTTATTATTCAATTCTTCAATAATTGAGTTATTTTTTCTTAAAATTAAATAAATGTTTTAAATATTGTATTCATTTCAATAAATTAGTTTCTGAACTTAAATCACATAGTGATTTTGAGAACAACTATAGATGTTTCTATTAGTACTACTGTTGTATAGGTAATAACATCATTGGATATTTACATAACATAATATTATGTTTGCCTCATCGTCTACTTTTTTTTACTTTTAGAACCTACAGCAATGGGTGTTTGATTGGTATAAATATTACTACGTCATATTTTAATGCGATTGTCTCATTGTCAAATAATATAATATCCAACTTTGCTAGATATATATTTTTAAATCAAACTTATCGATATTCTTTCTAATAATCAAATTATTTTTATAGCGTGAATGTATCTCCGTACATGTTGGCCAAGCTGGTGTGCAAATTGGTAATGCCTGCTGGGAATTGTACTGTTTGGAACATGGAATCGCTCCAGATGGTCAAATGCCATCTGACAAGACCATCGGAGGTGGAGACGACAGTTTCAACACCTTCTTCAGCGAAACCGGCTCAGGCAAACATGTGCCAAGAGCTGTGTTTGTTGATCTCGAACCAACTGTTGTTGGTAAGTTTGTAGTAAAATATAAAATTTCCATTAGAGAATCTAATTTACATTTTGATTACAGATGAGGTAAGAACTGGAACATACCGTCAGTTGTTCCACCCTGAACAATTGATCACTGGTAAGGAAGATGCCGCCAACAACTACGCACGTGGACACTACACTATTGGAAAAGAGATTGTTGATGTTGTTTTGGACAGAATCAGGAAATTGGCTGACCAGTGCACTGGTCTTCAAGGTTTCTTGATCTTCCACTCTTTCGGAGGTGGTACTGGATCTGGTTTCACATCTTTGTTGATGGAAAGACTCAGTGTTGACTACGGAAAGAAGAGTAAATTAGAATTTGCCATCTACCCAGCCCCTCAAGTCTCCACTGCTGTTGTTGAGCCATACAACTCCATCTTGACCACACATACCACTCTTGAACACAGTGACTGTGCATTCATGGTCGATAATGAAGCCATCTATGACATTTGCCGTCGTAATCTCGATATTGAACGTCCAACTTACACCAACTTGAATCGTCTTATTGGCCAGATTGTTTCTTCAATCACAGCTTCTCTCCGTTTCGATGGTGCCCTCAATGTTGACTTGACTGAATTCCAGACCAATTTGGTCCCATATCCCCGTATTCATTTCCCATTGGTCACCTATGCACCAGTCATCTCTGCTGAAAAGGCTTACCATGAACAATTGTCCGTATCAGAAATCACCAATGCTTGTTTTGAACCAGCCAACCAAATGGTGAAGTGTGACCCACGTCACGGCAAATACATGGCTTGTTGCATGTTGTACCGTGGTGATGTTGTACCTAAGGATGTCAACGCTGCCATTGCTTCCATCAAGACCAAGAGGACCATTCAGTTTGTTGACTGGTGTCCAACTGGTTTCAAAGTTGGTATCAATTACCAACCCCCAACCGTGGTACCCGGTGGTGACTTGGCTAAAGTACAACGTGCCGTCTGCATGTTGTCCAACACTACAGCTATTGCTGAAGCTTGGGCTAGGTTGGACCACAAGTTCGACTTGATGTATGCCAAACGTGCTTTCGTCCATTGGTATGTTGGAGAAGGTATGGAAGAAGGTGAATTCTCTGAAGCTCGTGAGGATTTGGCTGCTCTTGAGAAAGATTACGAAGAGGTTGGCATGGACTCCGTCGAAGGAGAAGGTGAAGGTGGTGAAGAATACTAAACATCGAAGTTCCAGACAAACCATGCTTGATTTTACAACTCCAAAAATTAAATTAACCTCAGTATTTTTTTTTTATATGAACATTTTTAGGCATTTTATTATTTAAAAGAAAGCAAACTCAAATGAAATCAGTTTATTTTTATTTCTTACAATATTATATAATATCCTATTCCTTACACCTTGGGTAATTACAACCCATATTACTAAACATCAGCACAGTTGTTGCTTGAAAGTAGTTTTAACCTTTTGGGTACAGTTTTTGTAATGATTCCTTTGGTATGTATCCCATTCCATCAAAACTTTTAAAATATTGGTCTATATTTTTGTGATTTATCTAAAATGTGGTTTATTTTGGATATAATGTAGATTTTTATAGAGAAGATTATTCTTATTTATATTTACCTTAATGTTTTGTAGTATAACTACAATTTTGTCTTGGTCTAATTTGATCAATTCTTCATGAACTTCCGATAAAATTAGGTATTCCGGTTCTTTAGTGAGATCCTGATAAAATCAAAATATTGGAAATTATTCAACTATTAAATGACAAATTTAAAAACAATATCAATCTATTGTGAGGGTCATCAAGCTGTATCATTTGTTGAGTGCCATAAAAAACTAATTTCATTGCGGGATGAAGCATATTGTATAATTTAATTTATAATTTTAATTTTAGTGAACAATTGAAATGCATTCCATTTTTAAAATAACTAAGTTTTTAATGGTTGCTGGAAGCGCTTGGTTAGATATTAGAGAAGTATTAGTCTTTCCCCTAAACTTAAATGTACATTTGTTTTGTTTGAATAGTGTGTATATTATGATACTAAAACTGATCAAATGAACAGTTCATTTTGGGATCATTACTTTTTAGCTGTATTAAGTAGCGTCCAGAGCGCTGTATTTTGGAGACTCCTGATATAATATAGTATGATCAGTGAATTAATCATATAATTTTACTTAAATTACTTAACTCACGGTTATATCAATGTTCCATCCAACAATAACGCCTGCTGTCATGGTATGTGTCAATACCACATTTCCAATCCTGAATTCTAAATGAGGTGGTCTAAAATTCATTATTAAATTTTCCGGCACTTCTTGGTCTCCCGGTGAACCATCTTCAAATGGTTTTGATAAACCCAAATAGTCGTATGTACTTTGCAGGTAATTGTCTTGAAAATCGAATTAAACAGTTAGGCTAATATAAACTGGGCCCGTGATTAAGAATTACCTTAATTAGGAAATTGCTTAGTAAAAAGAAAAATTTTCTATACTTTTCTTAATAATTGGTAAGACATGCATTTTAACGCTAGAGTGGTTTTTGACAAAATCGATTTTCTTATTTTCATTTAATCCAAAAAACAAATAACTGTAGTTACTGTATATATTTTTCATGAAATGTTTTTATTAGCATTTTCTGTACGTGGTATAATCTTAAAAATAGTTTGACTCTTTTTAAGGTATCTAAAGACGTACAATTTTTTTAAATTTTTATTTTTAGAAATGTAAAATTTGTTTGTTTGGTCAAAAAGCTTAACAAGGCTCCGCATAAACTATTATTACTAAAATTAATACATATATTTACTACAAATTTATAATCGTTTTAATCTTTTTAACGATTTTAGTTATTAGGTATTTTTTTATATTTAAAAAATATTCATGGGGACTTGAAATATCGAAGTTTATTTTATTTTACTACATGAAGGTATGACATTTTTTAAATATTTAGATTGATTTTAAGGTATTTTCTATTTATTGTTTATACTGTATTACTGATAATAAAATGAATTACTATAATAGTTAATAGCAATACCTACATATAGAATATAGATATATGATTAACTTTACTGAGTAATAAAGGATGACAGCAGATCGTTTTGGCTCAGATTCCTTTTTCATATGCTATGATTTATCTTAGAATTAAAATTTAATACATCCATTATAGTCACCTACAGTAACTCAATGACGATGAATATTTTACTGTTACTGTAATGTTCAGTGGTTACCTATTTGTCTAAGTTTTTAAGGCCCCTGCAAACCCTATTAATTTTTCATCAAAACGACCTTAGGGGCTGACAACAATTAAAGCACTTTTAATGGTTCGATTTAAAAATTTAAAGATGTTTTAATTGGTCAACAAGTCTACTTTGCATCGGTCTGAGCATATTTTTTATATTTTAGATATTATTGAATATATTCAATACCTACAAAAAATTTATAAATTTATAAAATGTAAAATATTTATTCTCGTCAAGAATTTGCTAAAATTGAAAAAGTGCTCTGACCGATGCAAAGTAAACTTGTTTACCGACACAAACATCTTTACATTTTTTATATCAAACCCCCAGAAGTACCTTATTAATTTTTATCAGTGCCCCGGCTATTTCACGTCCATAAATTGGTTTTGAATATTTTGATCTAGACATTAAATGACTTGTGCATGGCGTACGTGCGACCATAAACCAGATAAGAAATAACAATGTATTGTAAATTAATGATGGTCGCGGGTGATGGTAGGGGAGTATACACACACTAATGATCATTTACTACACACACAAAGACGATCAGTAATCACAGAAACGAAATAATTGCCTAAACACAACTCTTTAAAAATGACACATTTGCAGGGGCCTTCATTTTAAATGGTACCTATTTATCAATACCTAAAATAAACCCAGTAGATCTATGGACAATAAAATTTAGATAATGTATTTATGAAAAATGATTATGTAGTTTTACATAACTTCTGGATTATATAACTACAGTGAAACCTGACTTAACGGACACCTGTATATAACGGACACCTCTCTTAACGGACAAAATGACCAGGTCCCGGCAAAAAGGTAGGCATTCTAACGTATTTCGACCTGTCTATAACGGACTCCTTCTATTACGGACACGGACACTAATATTTAAGGGGGCTGCAGCCGGTACCAATAATCACGTAAAACAGGCCAAAAGCTAGACAAAACTGTAGGACTTGGGTTGGACGGATTTTAATTTTGAAAACTAATTGAAAATCTTTAACAACTCTACTAAAGCATGGTCGTGAAAATGTATCATTATAACAAAAATTAATGCCGTACTTAAATATATAAAATACCAAAATTCTTATTTTGTAAATTGTTGATATCTTATCGAATAATTTGAATAAATAAAATCCCCTCGATCATTCCCTAACTAACACAATGACTAATTAATATATTTTTTCTAAATTAAAATCTGTCGTACCCAAGTCCCACAGTTTTGTCTAGCTTTTTGGCATTTTTGTCATTTGAATAGCATGAGTATATTTGATAAAATCTGTATAGTTGACATGTGCCTGCGCGTGCGAAAATTCACGGCGGCGGTCCTAATTGAAAATAAACTGCCAACATTCGATTCCTGGAATATAATATTACAAGATAAGAAAACGATTGCCGGCGGTGTGCTTAATTCTAATAAATATTATATTATTGTAATAATAATAAATATATATATCGCCCTGCGTACTTGTTTTGGTCCCCTGCCGGTACGTAATATTATTAAACGGCAAGCACAAATCATATTCTTATTTTGATTTTCGATTAGTCTGGTTAGGTAATAGTATAATGTGCAGTATCTAAAGAGAGAATTTTTATATAAAGTATTTACATATTTTTCATTTTTGGTGCTATGGACAGTAAAAGTGACTGGCATTATGGAAAAAAAACTAAGACTCTTTTATCCAAGAGAAAGAAAAATAAAGGTAACATTAATGCCCTGAATGGTTTAAAAAAAGTAAGTATTAATATTACAAATCTATTAATTACCTTAATAACGTCTTATCTTATTACCTTTTTAATTATTAATATTTATTCAATTTGTATTTTACTTGAAGTTTTAAAAATGTTTAGTATTTATAGTTTATACCTATGTCAGCAAGAAATCTATTAGCTCATCGTTCCTCAAGTTTGATTTATAATGTAAACAATAATTCGGTCGAAGGTTATAATAGCGTTGTTGCTAAATATGTAGGTGGAAAGAGAATAAACTTTTCTCATAAAGGGTCATATCAAGCGAGGTGTACCGCGGCAGTGTTGTCATATAATGCAGGGGCAACATCTTTAAGTGTTTTACACAAAAAAATTTGCAATAAAAGTCCTGGTGTTTTTACCAAACGTTTTATAAATAGAAAACAGACGACGACAATATGTAAAACAAACAGAAAACTTACATATGAACCAAGTAGTAGACGAGTTACCAAAGTTAGCTTACCTGCAGATAAAGACTATGGCAATTGTGAAGAAGATATTTGTAAAGAATTGGATATGGATGAAAATGATTACGAAAAACTTAAATTAGAATTTATAACGAATAAAATTATAAAAAATAGTAATGAAATCAAATTAATTGAAGAATCGACTAAACTTCAATCAGAATGTGAATTATGGCATAAAGAAAGACGAATTCGTTTAACCGCGTCAAACTTTGGAACCATTTGTAAACTTCGACCGGCGACGTCTAGAGCTAATACAATTAAGTCAATGTTGTATAAAACATTTTGCGGAAATGAGCATACAAGATATGGTATTGAGTGCGAACCCTTTGCGAAGACAGAGTTTCAAAAACTAACAGGGCTTAAAATTCAAGAATCTGGCCTTTTCATTTATGAACAACTACCGTTTTTAGCAGCCAGTCCGGATGGACTATTAGATGATAACGGTATAGTTGAAATAAAATGTCCATCTACAATTAAACAATTAACTCCAAAAGAAGCTATAGAAACTGGAAAATTAAAATTTGCAACTGTTGACAATCAAGGAAATCTACAGTTAAAAAAAAGTGACAAATACTATTTTCAAGTTATGGGTCAATTACAAATAACTAAAAGATTGTTTTGTTATTTTATAATATGGTCACCTAAAGGTAATTATAATGCTTAAATTACAAATAAATATTGGTAATACTAATAACTATCGTAAATTGATTTCCACGTACGTATGTTTACAGGTATATTATACCAAAAAATTTTAAGAGATGATGATTTTTTCGAAACCAAAATGAAAACATTGCTAGAAAATTTTTATTTCCAAGCGATGTTGCCCGAGTTAATAGACTCAAGAGCTGATAGAAACCGTCGTTTACGTGACTAACCTTTATAGTTACGCTTAAGTTTTTTACTGAAGAAGTTTGTAAATAAACTATAAAAACATAATAATTTGACATTTTGACTTAATATTCATATTATATGGATCGCATTATTTTTTTCTCCAAGATATCTAACTTACAATACTATGTACATTTATGTGAGTGAAATAACGCCGAGTTCTAATTATACATGTGTATATATTTTAATAAATTATTATAGCATAAATACATAATATTAATATGTATAAATAGCAGTACGTAAGTAGTAAGTACCAAGTTGTAATGGTTCATCCTCTCTAGCACTCACTTTCCTCACCTTTTTTATAATATACATGTGTTTCGGTGTATGCGATTGATTGTGTTATTCCTTTTACGTAAAAAAAGTGATTATGTAATTAATGAGTAAAAAAATTGTGTATACAAAAATAGGTTTAGTTATTATAATATAGAATACTAAAATAACCTACTTTTGACAACAATATATTTTATGACCCACATAATTAGTCGTTTACGTTTAATTGTTTACGATGTTTGATGTCGACGGCGGGTCGATTCCTGGTAATATTGAGAGAGATTAGTCTTACACACACTAAGGTTCGTTTACGTTGCACACACTTACAAGTCAGTTTAATGCTATCATGTTAAATTGCCTATATTAATTTCCTTAAAACACGATCGACTGCAGCCCCCTTAATACAACAATTTCATATAACGGACAAAAATACATAGGATTTTCATATATGAGCGAATTAATTATCCATCACTAGTAAGAAATGACCAAATCGATGTTCAAAAAACAAACATCAATAGAATCATTTTTTAAGAAATAATTAATAAATTTATACAAATATAATGTGTCATTGTATGTGTGTAATGTAAAAATAATAATTGTAATTGTAATAAATAATTAAAATTAAATTTATTGTGTATGTGTATAATGCATATAATATGTATGTACGTATAATATTAATAAAGATTAAAAACATTGAAACCTGTCTACAACGGACACCTGTCTATAACGGACAATTATTTTGGTCCCGTGACTGTCCGTTATATACAGGTTTCACTGTATTTACAATTTTTGTGAACCTATAATATTCCTAATGTACCTATTGTACCTATCTAGTTTATAGAAAACTCAAATATTTTAAATTGAACAATAATTTTGTTAAACATACTTAACGAATTGAAATGCAAATCAAAACGAAATGCCAAACCAACCCACGACACAAGTGTAGTTGATTTGCATATCCATAACGCCGTGTGATAAGCTTTTAATTATTGAACAAATATACTTGAATAATAAATTGTTGTTTTCAATTATTGACCAATGGTTGTAACAAATAATGCCTTCATAATAATATGAAAGCTTAAATGGTCTGAGTGTCTGACTTATTTAAGATGTTCAATTTTATTTAGTAAACTATTATATATTATTATTTATTAAGGGGGCTGCAGCCGGTACCAATAATCACGTAAAACAGGCCAAAAGCTAGACAAAACTGTAGGACTTGGGTTGGACGGATTTTAATTTTGAAAACTAATTGAAAATCTTTAACAACTCTACTAAAGCATGGTCGTGAAAATGTATCATTATAACAAAAATTAATGCCGTACTTAAATATATAAAATACCAAAATTCTTATTTTGTAAATTGTTGATATCTTATCGAATAATTTGAATAAATAAAATCCCCTCGATCATTCCCTAACTAACACAATGACTAATTAATATATTTTTTCTAAATTAAAATCTGTCGTACCCAAGTCCCACAGTTTTGTCTAGCTTTTTGGCATTTTTGTCATTTGAATAGCATGAGTATATTTGATAAAATCTGTATAGTTGACATGTGCCTGCGCGTGCGAAAATTCACGGCGGCGGTCCTAATTGAAAATAAACTGCCAACATTCGATTCCTGGAATATAATATTACAAGATAAGAAAACGATTGCCGGCGGTGTGCTTAATTCTAATAAATATTATATTATTGTAATAATAATAAATATATATATCGCCCTGCGTACTTGTTTTGGTCCCCTGCCGGTACGTAATATTATTAAACGGCAAGCACAAATCATATTCTTATTTTGATTTTCGATTAGTCTGGTTAGGTAATAGTATAATGTGCAGTATCTAAAGAGAGAATTTTTATATAAAGTATTTACATATTTTTCATTTTTGGTGCTATGGACAGTAAAAGTGACTGGCATTATGGAAAAAAAACTAAGACTCTTTTATCCAAGAGAAAGAAAAATAAAGGTAACATTAATGCCCTGAATGGTTTAAAAAAAGTAAGTATTAATATTACAAATCTATTAATTACCTTAATAACGTCTTATCTTATTACCTTTTTAATTATTAATATTTATTCAATTTGTATTTTACTTGAAGTTTTAAAAATGTTTAGTATTTATAGTTTATACCTATGTCAGCAAGAAATCTATTAGCTCATCGTTCCTCAAGTTTGATTTATAATGTAAACAATAATTCGGTCGAAGGTTATAATAGCGTTGTTGCTAAATATGTAGGTGGAAAGAGAATAAACTTTTCTCATAAAGGGTCATATCAAGCGAGGTGTACCGCGGCAGTGTTGTCATATAATGCAGGGGCAACATCTTTAAGTGTTTTACACAAAAAAATTTGCAATAAAAGTCCTGGTGTTTTTACCAAACGTTTTATAAATAGAAAACAGACGACGACAATATGTAAAACAAACAGAAAACTTACATATGAACCAAGTAGTAGACGAGTTACCAAAGTTAGCTTACCTGCAGATAAAGACTATGGCAATTGTGAAGAAGATATTTGTAAAGAATTGGATATGGATGAAAATGATTACGAAAAACTTAAATTAGAATTTATAACGAATAAAATTATAAAAAATAGTAATGAAATCAAATTAATTGAAGAATCGACTAAACTTCAATCAGAATGTGAATTATGGCATAAAGAAAGACGAATTCGTTTAACCGCGTCAAACTTTGGAACCATTTGTAAACTTCGACCGGCGACGTCTAGAGCTAATACAATTAAGTCAATGTTGTATAAAACATTTTGCGGAAATGAGCATACAAGATATGGTATTGAGTGCGAACCCTTTGCGAAGACAGAGTTTCAAAAACTAACAGGGCTTAAAATTCAAGAATCTGGCCTTTTCATTTATGAACAACTACCGTTTTTAGCAGCCAGTCCGGATGGACTATTAGATGATAACGGTATAGTTGAAATAAAATGTCCATCTACAATTAAACAATTAACTCCAAAAGAAGCTATAGAAACTGGAAAATTAAAATTTGCAACTGTTGACAATCAAGGAAATCTACAGTTAAAAAAAAGTGACAAATACTATTTTCAAGTTATGGGTCAATTACAAATAACTAAAAGATTGTTTTGTTATTTTATAATATGGTCACCTAAAGGTAATTATAATGCTTAAATTACAAATAAATATTGGTAATACTAATAACTATCGTAAATTGATTTCCACGTACGTATGTTTACAGGTATATTATACCAAAAAATTTTAAGAGATGATGATTTTTTCGAAACCAAAATGAAAACATTGCTAGAAAATTTTTATTTCCAAGCGATGTTGCCCGAGTTAATAGACTCAAGAGCTGATAGAAACCGTCGTTTACGTGACTAACCTTTATAGTTACGCTTAAGTTTTTTACTGAAGAAGTTTGTAAATAAACTATAAAAACATAATAATTTGACATTTTGACTTAATATTCATATTATATGGATCGCATTATTTTTTTCTCCAAGATATCTAACTTACAATACTATGTACATTTATGTGAGTGAAATAACGCCGAGTTCTAATTATACATGTGTATATATTTTAATAAATTATTATAGCATAAATACATAATATTAATATGTATAAATAGCAGTACGTAAGTAGTAAGTACCAAGTTGTAATGGTTCATCCTCTCTAGCACTCACTTTCCTCACCTTTTTTATAATATACATGTGTTTCGGTGTATGCGATTGATTGTGTTATTCCTTTTACGTAAAAAAAGTGATTATGTAATTAATGAGTAAAAAAATTGTGTATACAAAAATAGGTTTAGTTATTATAATATAGAATACTAAAATAACCTACTTTTGACAACAATATATTTTATGACCCACATAATTAGTCGTTTACGTTTAATTGTTTACGATGTTTGATGTCGACGGCGGGTCGATTCCTGGTAATATTGAGAGAGATTAGTCTTACACACACTAAGGTTCGTTTACGTTGCACACACTTACAAGTCAGTTTAATGCTATCATGTTAAATTGCCTATATTAATTTCCTTAAAACACGATCGACTGCAGCCCCCTTAATATTAGATACTAATGTTATCATGCAAATTACATGTAGGTATACACACTACACACCATTACACCAATATAAATTGACACATTATCTTAAGCTTGACGAATAAATAATTTAATAATGACTTTCGTAGGTACTAAATTTCATGGTAACAAAAAAATTTAAAAAAAAACGACATGGAATTCACTCTTCTGTAGGTACCTATATTAGATTTCCAGAGTATCTGGTCATTGTGTAGATCACTGTAACGGATGTGTTAAATTTGAATACAATGCTAATCATTATATAAAAAAAACGATTCTGGGCAGAGATTTCTAATGATATTTTATAATTTATTCGAGTTAGGTACTTTTAGAAATTAATTTTGGCATACCTAAGTAATACGTGGCGTAAGTTAAACTAATTTTTTCCAAAAATATACCTTTATTGTTGAAGTCTAGTTATAACTTACTGAATTGTTGCTAGTACATTAGTACCTTGGTAACTTATAACGCAAATAGTATACGTTATGGTGAAAAGTTTCAATCCATGTTTAATACTTTTTGAATCAGAACAAAACTATACCATCGATAGTTCGTTTAAATATTCAATTTCGTCAATATTTACAAATGGCTATAAAAAAAGTAGTGCTCAATGTACTTGAGGTATTTTTAAGTTGCCATACGAAACAGGCGTATACGGGGGGGGGGGTGTCAACCAAACTGTGTTTTTGTGATTGGACGACGTAGGTACCTACTACCATATCGAAATCGTCGATGTCATTATATTTACGTTTTACACTTTTACTAAACAACGAAACAGGAAAACCGATTGATAATAAATAATAATATAAACTTGATTTCAGAAAAGGATTTAAATTATCCAGAGGAATCAAACACTTACTCGCGGTGCCGACGTATCCGGTGACGTAGTCGGTAGACAGCTGTAGCAGGTCGTTCGGTAAGTTTTTCGCGATTTCCGACACCAAGTCTCTGAAGTCTCGGTTGTACCTCATCAAGTACATTTGCAACGGCACCGCCGCCACCAGCAACACCGTCAATCCAACGACGTGTCTGACTTGCATGGTGCGGCTGAAGTAAGTAAGCACCTATATATATATATCTCAAAGTATCGATTGCGCAGCTTTCCGGCACGGGTCATCGGCGTCCTGTTGTCTACCTCGACGACCGTCGATGACTTTTGTTTTGTTTGAAACAGTTATTTTAAGATTGAAACTAAATCGTTATGATAGTGTATACAAACCGTTCGCATAATTTTGTGAAAATTCTTTGGACTTGCGAGCCGAGTGAGCGGAACGGAATACCTATATCGAAATCCCGTCAACACCCAACAGAAAATAATAACATAATAATGTGCAGTGCTGCGATCAAAGTATAATGGTAGGTACGAAAGTTATATGATTTTATTTTCCACACCTCGTCCGTTGGTTTGCTGTAGACACAGATGTTTTATACTGTGTATATTGTGTACAGCTAGTGTATACACGCGTGATGTGTGTAGTATAATTTATACAGGGTGATTATTTTATCAGTAATAAGTCGGTAAATACTCGTAACCTAGAAAAGTAATAACATGTAATATAAAATGGATTTTTTTACATAATAATATATACCACAAATTCAAAAAAAAAAAAAATCTTTTACTTAATTTTTTATTCTCAATAAGTTTTTATAATTTTTTAAAAACGTATATTTTTAATTTCATATTTTATAGCCCGATCATTGCGGAAAAATATCCAAACTTAATCTTAGTTCGGTTTCCGTATTAGACAACACTCTGCATCACACCAAACAGCCTAGCATCACAAAAAATTATATTGCACTGCACTGCTTTCTGTATCTGACAAACCTTTGAGAGGGTCTGGCACTAAGATTTCCTTTTAAAATGAAGACAGATCTTATCTCCATCGAATCGTATAGCGCCAGGATAGCTAGATAATCCTATGCAACTGAATGCACTTTCGCTGGCAGTGTCAAATCTGCAGACCTCTCCGGTGTACCTCATATTCAAGAAAGATTAAATTTTTTATAGACATTTTCAGTTAAACATTTCACTACAAGGATATCGAAACGATATATTTTTTAAAGATTTTAGTTAGTTTCGTAGTAATTCTAAAAATATTAATCGTAAGAACTTAAAATCTTTCTCAGTTACGCTTAGGTATATTATTATATTTTCTATATACAACCATGTTTTATAAATATTTAGAACAATTTTATTATAATATTACGTGTCTACAAAATACGAACCCTCCGGCCTCCGTTGTCATATCATTTTCCAGTACGTTGACCACAAAACCACATAAAATATTCTTGGAAATTAAACATTAGTACAATACATTTTAGATTCTGAGTAGAACGATGAATGTTTGATTTTACAATGATATATTTTTTTTTAATTAATTTAGGTATTTTATTTTATTTTGTTTTTGTGTCTGTCATCACCTTTTAGGACAGTAAAAGTGCTTGGATTTTCTTCCACAGTATCTTTTTTGATAGAAAAGTGAATCTAGTTGGTACTTTGGTTGGTCAAAAGTAAAATTTTTCCAGTAGTTTTCAAACGCGCCGTGAAAAACAAAAGAAAAAATAATTAAAAATGGGAATTTTTACACAAAATCTGTTTTCGAAAAAAACGATTTTGGTTTTTGGTGTAACTTTAAAACAAATTAGGTACCGTAGATTCATGAAATTTTTACTGGTTGTTTATATTTGCATTTTCTATACAAGTTAAAATTTTCAAAATATTTTGATTTATTTTGAACTGCTTAGAGACATTTTCAGTTTCCAATTGTATTAGTTTTTTCTTCTATGAATGTCTATAAAACTTTATTTGTTGAGTAAAAATACTTGAAAATTTAATACAAGGCTACAACTTCATGTTACACTGATATTTGAAAAATATTAAAAATCTTTAGTTACGGTTTTTTGTTATAAGCATTTAAAGTTCAAATCTTGACAAAATACGGAAAAATCACGAAAATTAGCAAATTATTTTGTGTTGAGAATTCATAAACATTTTTCTTTTTGAATCTAAGATTTGAAAATGTAATACAAGATTACTCATAAGCTTATCTACCTTTATCAAAAAAAAAATGTCTACAAGCAAATCAAATTAAATTTTTATGAGCGTTTGAAGTTCATAAATTTTAAAATATTGGATATTCACTCGATTTCTCATTTAGGGGTTTTGTTATTTTATTGTTATTCAAAAACAAATAACTGTAGATACATGAAAATTTTACTGAATGTTTATATTTTCATTTTCTATACACCATAAAAATTTGAAAATATTTCGACTTTTTTTGAGCTGTTTACGGACATTGTCAGTTTTCAATTTTCTTAGTTTTTCTCCTATAAATATCAATAAAATTGTATTTGTTGGTTAAAAAAGCATGGAAATGTAATGCAAGGCTTCTAATATATTGTAACAATAGCAGTTGAAAAATATTAAAAATACATGGGCACAATTTTTTTTTATAAGCATTTAAAGTTTGAATTTTGACAAAATTTATTATTTTTAAATTTAATAATTATTCTGTAAATAAAAATGCATAAAATGTTCAACTTTTATAGCTAAGGATGGAAAATTTAAAACAAGGGTTCACGTAAATAGGTAAATATATAAATTACTTTATTCACAATAATATCATCAAATATAATTCGTTATATCATAGGCTGACTGACTGTTTTCGCTCAGAATCAGACAGAATCGTTTTTATTATACAATGATATTATATATCATTGAATTCAAATTTAATATCATTCATTATACAGTGACCCACTTGTAATCTACTGTACAGCAGAGCGACTTTTTTTAAATTGTTTTTATGTATCCGCAAATATGGCTATGCGATATAATTATTCAATTAGTTAAACGAAATATAAAAATGTTTAGTTTGTATTAAATATTGAATGTGTTTTATATAGGTATTTACAGTATATTTATGTAATTATAATGTAATTTAGAACTCCTGGGCTCCCACATGAGTTCTCTCAGTAGAGCCCAGTATTTAAAAGAAAATAATAATATTGCTTTTAGATAAAATAGTGTCAATAAATATTTAAATTTAAGTACTAACTTAATATTATTAGTTATTATAATATATTTATACTATATCAGATTATTGCACGGAAAATATAAAAATCGACATTTTTTTTTTGTAAAAACTTTATAGTACAATATAATATATTGGTCACCTGAAAATTCTTTGGCTTTCCTATAGTTGTTAGCATTCCTTTCAAAAAGTTGAAATGACACCCCTAAATCAAACAATTATAGTACAAAATGTAATTTTCTTTTTTTTTAGTCAATTATTTCTTCAACACTAATCAGAGCACCTTTTTTTTTTAAATACTGAAAAAATATATAATATATATAATATAAAACACTATTAGGTTTATCGGAGATTATATTTATTGTTGGCAGGCCAAAGAATGCTTTTTAAAAAATAGTTAGTGCAAATGTACACTCTGTATAGTGTATACCACCTACCTATATGTGGGGTCTTTCGGTTGACTTTTTTTCATCATGAAAGAGACGACAATTATTATGTTACCTACGCATTGTTTTTCATTATAGTCAAGAGTCATGACATTCTCACATGGTATTTACACTTAACGCCACAATTTATTATTGTATACAAGACACACAGCACACATGCGTTGTTATTACCTCTATAAATGTGATGGTTGTATCCTAATAAATAATTGTAGTAGGTAAGAACGATTTAAATACAATTGTAATGTATAAATGCATTTAATGTAAATACAATATTAGCCTAATGTAAGCTATAATAGCTTTGTAGCTGATGCACAAATTCAAACGTACTAACAATACCTAATAATAATAATAACAATTAAAGTATAATAATGATGATATGTATTATTGTCGATGTTGCAGCACTATACAATGTAAAGTCTGTAGATGCGTGTTATTAGGCGTATGAATTATCAACAGTGCAATTTAGGTTGAGTACCTATGGCGGAGACGATGACGCCGCCCAAGTGTCAGTTCAACAGGACGTTTTTCATGTCCTGAAGGATTTCTAACTGTTGCAAAAGTCCTGAAAAGCATACAAAAATAAAAAGGTTACAATGTGGTGATACATAATGTAATAATTTATTGTGTTTAAGTATTGAATTACGGAATGACTCACACTCACTGACCCAGTGTAATCAGTGGTAGGTACGATTATAAGGAACAGGAAGTGTGCTATTTAATATTTAGCACCTCTAGGATTCAACGGCAGTTAAGCACTTTCAAGTCCAAGAATCGTGTATGGGTATATGGTTTTGTTAGTATTGCTAGGAGCATCATTACAAATTTCCAACTCTGTCTTTAAGCCCCTAATTTATGTTTAAGTTATATGTTTTATTTAGTTACTATTTTTATTAGATCTTCAGACATAAGGCAATTATAATATCCATTTGATTTTCTTCAAATCGATTTTCCATTCCCTGTATTATTATGAATAATTTAATATTATTTCCATATTTCTCAACACCCTATACATATTTTCGAAATTCTGTTTGCGGGACATGAAACCATAGACTATTGGATCATCAAGACAGAATTCTAAAATATCTATAGGGTACTAAGAACATATTATGTAGATTGTAGGTAACTCAGTTATTATAGAGTGTACCTACCCAGTTTTTGCGGTTACACCGCGGTATAAATAATCTATATAAAGTATTATTCCGAGTGCTCGCGAAGCAGTGTAGTAGTAGGTAGCGGTTGTGCCAATAATAGGCCATTTATAATATTATGTAGCATTATAAATCGTTGATCAACTGTAGTTTATTATTTATAAATTATTAGATATAATTCATATTTGTTTATATTTTTTTATTTTTCTTCGATACACACAATATGTCAGAGACGTGTAAGTACCAACAATATTTTTTCTATTGTAACAATGAGGCATCGTTTAAATTATAATTATTTGAATATGTATTTAAAAACTGTATTACGTATATTTATTCTTAAAATTAAATTTACTATTTACAATTTAATTGTATGTACATATTTAATAATATTATGTACAATTTAATTAAATTGATCACTTTTTTAAAACAAAAACTAAACCAGCTAAATTGATTTTGATATCATACAGTTATTTATAAGTACCTACATAATAATGTAATTTTATGACGTCTTAGACTGTTAAGAGTTGATATACACACAATAAAATATTCCTAGTTATAAGTTGTATGGAAATGATGTGTATTTATTTTATGCGATTTGGTTGCAAAAACGATTTTAATTCTTAATGCGTATTATTATTTTAAATTTATTGTATTATGAGTACTACGCAGTTTTAAATTTTAATAGGTGTAGGTACATCGATATAGGTAGGTACGACAGGTACGTATATAATATATCATTTATATGTATTATATAAACCGTGATGGTACATATATAGCCATATAGGTGCCTATACACTGCTCACTATAGCAGTCCAAACATTATTAAGTAAATAAAATCGGTTCGGATAAAAATATGTATTAGGTAGGTATTGGTACACGAATATGAATGTGTTATGAAACAAACACCGGGTGTTGAATTCTTAACTAAATTTTTTTTTTTAATCGTGTAGATTAAAAATTAATCATATCAACAATTTTGTGCTCGTGTAGGTATTTAGATACATAATACAAGCAAATCGATTGAATACCTATAAACAGTAAGCACTATGTAAATATACGATTTAACAATATAAAAACTATATCGAAGAAAGGATTTGCTTCGTTAGGATAACTAACCCTAACGCATTTATTAATTTGTATGATAGGTTATCCATAAGCATGCCTATATATAATATTATATCGTTTGAGTACAGTTCACTCGTATTATGGCACATAAGTCGTAGCATCCGTCGCATACCTACCTGTATTGGATTTTTTTTTATTTTTTTTTACTTATAGTCAATTATACGGTACACAGAGGAAATGGAAATCGTTTAAATCGGTTAGTTGGTAGTTTATTTACTGCACTTTTAGATTATTACTTTTTTTTATCTGTGTACACGATAAGTAGTTGAAATAATGTTTCGATTTTAAACTTCAGTATCTTTTCCGGTGGAAAAGTGAATCTAGTTGGTACTTTTGGACGGTCAAATTCCAAGTAGTTTTCAAAAGCGCAAGGAAAATCAAAACAATAATTAAGGATGAACGGTAAATTTACGAATTTACGGTTTTCGACAAAATCGATTTTTTTTTTTGGGTGTAATTATAAAACAAATAGCTGTAGATAAATACAATTTTCACTGGTTGTTTATATTAGCGTTTTTTATACACAAAATATTTTGATTTGTTTTGAACTGCAGTTTACGGACATTTTCAATTTTCAATTGACTACGAATGACAATGACATTTTATTTATTGGGCGAAAAATTTAATGAAAGGCTACTAAAGTAATATATTGTTATAATGTTATATTTGAAAAATATTAAAAGTCCTTAGTCACAATTTTTTTTATAAGTATTTAAAGTTCAAATCTTGACAAAATACGGATAAATCAAGGAAATAAGCAAATTATCTGTAGTTACAAATTTATAAAATGTTCAATTTTTAAAGCTAAGGATTGAAAATTTAAAACGAGGTTATAATATATAAATTACTTTATTCACAATAAATCATAAAATATACTTAGTAATATCATAGACTGACTGACAGTCTTCGCTCAAAATCGTTTTTCTTATACAATGCTATTATATTATTGAATTCAAATTTAATACAATCCATTACAGTGACCCACTTGTAACCTACTGTACAGGCGTAGAGCGGAGTGACACCCACTTGAACGCATTTTTTTTTCGTTCTCGTAAAACAAAAGTCATCCATACGATGATACCTTTATAATAACGTGCGTGCAGTGATTTAAATATTTTACCACGACTATATTCAGTATATCAGTAGGTAGTATTTATTATATATAAATACTACGTAAGTTATAAAAATATTATTACTGATTCGTTTATACTCAGTAACAAATCTAGAAAATAAAGTTTAATTCGGTACCTATAGCTATCAAAAACGTCGGAATAGGTACTGCATGAATCGGTTATAGCCTTATAGGTTGTCAGAGTAAAGACTTAGGTTAGCTCCCCAAATAATCGATACCTCGTATACTCGTATGTAATGGGTTTGAATTTCAATCGATTATTGCTAAATTAAATTTTTTTCGAGAAATCAAAATGATTATTATAGCATTATCGCTTATAAGTTACACTGCACGATACTGGTCCTATGATTAAAGTATATGAATATGAATAATATACAATGTTTATAATGCATGTAATACTATTATAATACAATGTTACTTATAAGTTCATAAGTTTTGGTTAGGTCTTCTCATAAAGTCTCCATACATACTGCGAATGGAGAATTTACGATAATTACACAATTTTAGTACCTATTGAAACAAACTTGATTTGAAAAATATCTACCTATATTAGTATATGTAAAATATATGTAAAAAAATCTATTGTGCCCTTCGTTACTTCTCAACTAAAATATAACTAACAAAAGCATGAACCGTACGTCTTGTAATTTGTTAATTGTTATGACTTACATTTAAGTTACAACTTAAAAAGTACACAATAAAAATAAATGACAATACATTTTAATTCATAACATAATAATATGGAATCAGTATTTATGAATACAATAATTTTACATGTTATTTCGGATTACTATTTTCTACTTGTAAATAGTTGTAATAATAATTATACGTATGGTAAAATATTAAAATAAAACTGGATACCTACCTATTATCTATATAGGACATAGATATTTCGATTATTTCATTAAGTTATACTATCAAACTATTTAGGTTCTTAGCTTTAACAAGAGAACTTTGAAAACAATTACTTGACATACTCGAATGAGCAGAAAAAAAATTACTAAAAATTATATTTGAGTAGGTAGGTGGTATAATTGCTCATGCTATCAATAAACAAGCATAATTTATTTAAATATTTTTTGTTGTCACAATATTAAATAACTATATATTTTTTGTGTGTTCCCGCCGTAAATACATCTAATATAGTAATATAGTATTATTTTATAGATACGTCTAATATATATGTCTAAGCACAGATAATGTTATTATCTAAAAAAATGATAATAGGTCCAATCACTCTAATATCAAAACTAACAATACACACTATTGAAACTAGTGAACGAAAATTTGCTATGTTGTACGTGTATAAGACGGAGGCAACAAATGTATGTCTAGCATCTTTTTAAGAAGTTAAGGCGCTTTACAAAAGAGCGTCTTATGTGGGAAAGTTTCTTGAGCGACTTTTACTGTACATAGTTGTCAATATTAATTATTTTACTTGTAATGTATTATGTTGTACTTGTAGCAATTATTAAGAGAGTCCACCATTTCGAAATTATTGTGGATTTGTGGGTGCCTGTTTGAGGTTTGAACACTCCCCACACCGAATTAAATTGAGCCACGGATGCTACGCTATCGTAGTATCTCACTGACATCACATGGCACACACTGATTTTATAACAATATAAATTATAAATTATGTACATATAGCCATATGGGTAGTGACTAATGGAGAATCTAAGAAAGTTGTAAGGAAGTAAGGAACTCTATAGTGCAGCATATTATATACGTAGGATAAAAATGTTTTGTTAAAAAATCATAAACAATAATCTTGAAGCATGTCTAGCATTTTATTTTGGAGGTGGTTTTAAATTTGAAATACTTCAGTAGATATCTAACATTTTAAAAAACTATGAAAATAAAAAATGTACTAGTACCTACTTAAAAAAAAAAAAAATAATATAACTAGTTTTTAAAAACAATTATTAACAACTCGCATAATATGTGTAATGTATATGACCACTAAAGTTTAGTTATACTTTTATTTTGTATGTTTTAACTTTTATTGCAGTGTGATTATTGGTTAAAATGTTATCCATCATATATTTCAGTATCTCATATTAAAAATAAGAAAGCATTTATTATAAATACCAAATCTATTTTGAATGTATCAAAAATAATTTTAAGTTATTGAAAATTTAAATTTAATGTCGGTAAAATATCTATATTATTTGTTACTTGAAACCAGACATGTATGTAGAACATACACCATAATATATAATTATTCATGCAAAGTGTATTATACATAAATTATACCTACGAATATATTAGAAAATAGGAATTTCAAAGTTCAAGCGCACCTTCTTCTTTCATGGAGACCAATTTTTTTGCCACGTAGAACCCTTGTTTGAAGTGTTTCTCGTTGTCTTCGGCGGACTCCACATTGGTCCTCTCGATGATTGCCTCCAGCCGACAGGTTTTGGTCCGTTCCGCATCCAAATCATTCAACAGCCTTTCCTATAAGCATATTATGGCTGTCATTCCATCTGAACTTCGATCTTAATTAATATTGATCAGTTTATCGTAGTTTATACTCACACGGGTTTCGATAAGTTTAGCGTTTTCCGCCATAACCGCCAGTTCACGTTGTTGGGCCGCCACTAGCTGTCCTGCGAATTCCTGCCTAGTGGACACGGCGGCAAGGAACCGATCCTCCTTGTCGGCAACTTCGTTTTCCAACGCGGTTAGTTCTAACCGGAATTTCCTTTGGTCCTGCAAAACCACACGTTTTTAATCTCCTAATTTGAAGCCAAATATTTTTTTGAAAATTTAAAACCCGAAATCAAAGTATTGTCTACAACCAGTATTCATAAAAACCCGAAATCAAAAATCAAACAACAAAATGCGAATTATGCTTTTCAATGCGTAGGTACTCTATTCTATACTAAGGTTTAAGGAAAGCATCCCTTAGATAATCAGATATTCTAAAAAAATTCTCATCGTAATAACAAAATACCATCGTTAATACTAGTTAGGCAAGTTTTTATAATAATTTAAAAATTACCTTGAATTTCCAAAAACTTGACTATGAGGTATTAGGATGTTTAGTATTATACGAGGTATATCCTATAGTTGATTGAAAAATATCCTATAAATATTAGGATTATATTATATCTTTGGTGTTAATATTACTTATCTTACACTGTGAAATATGTGCCGTTTACTATTATACAAAATATTGTAATATTGCAGACCATCGCGTCGAAAAGAAAACGAGTCAAAAGACTAGTTTTTAACGTCAAACAAATTGATTTTAAACCGGAATCATAACGGTGATTGGTAAACGGGTGTTCGCGGAACAAGGGCGCCCGCAGAAATATAATCCGCTGGTGGGGGCAAAGCCAAAAGTCGATACGGCCCATTTTTTATACCAGTGATAATAAAATTAATATCAACTAATAACCGTGGGGGGTCATGCCATGCCATGCGCCCCCCACCCCGGTCCACCTTGCAGCGGGCGGCCTTGTCACGGAAATGTTCATCTCAGTTGGTGAAAATTATTAATAATACCTACGTTACATACATACTTCGAGTTTGGTCTTTTCTTGCTCTTCACGGAAATGCGATTCGAGTTCTTCGAAAAGTTTTTGCATCTGAAAATCACAAGACGGCCTTATAACTTATTATTTATTATTCACTGCGATTTTCACGCATTATTGTGACCCGGTATAACAAAGGTGATACATTTATAAAAGCGCACAGATGTAGGGGCGTCTTCAGGTGAATTCCATTGATGGGGCGAAAAAAATTTATTCTTCAATACCGCTTTTAACAATTAACAAAATTATAAAATGTATTTATCTATTAGCAAAAACAGAACATCTCACGACTTACTGAGGGTCCCCCTTAAGGACGCACCTGCATAGATGTCTAGGTATAATTGGTAATACTGGGTGTGTATACAGGGTGATTCACCTTGTATGCTCTCTCCCCTCTTTTTCTTCATTAATGCAGTTGTTCAACATCTGATTTTTGGAATTTTTATAAATATACCTGAAGACCATATTTTTAAATTCTTGAGAGATTTTGTACTACCTACTTAAGGAATTCCTGCGTAGGTACATACAAAATTATGTTTTCCAAATGAGAACAAAAATTTTTGTAAATTATTTTAAAAGACCTATTAAAATCAAAATTTGAACTAGTAGTTTTTGAGTTATTCAACTTTGTGTACTAAGGATAAAAGGTCCATAACGATGGGTTTGAAGATGAAGGGGCTGTGGTGATTGGACAGTTTTAGTGATTGTGATTGCCTAATACCTATTATATTATTCTATCAACATTTATAATTTTTAGAAATGGACCAAGCTATAGATCGAAGCTAGATCAATACTAGATCGATTTATTTTGAATTAGGTACATAAAAATGTTCAGAACAATTATTCATTTAATAATTTGCAGTAGAAAAGGTCCTAAGGGTTCTCATATGATAAACGAAAATTTGTATCGACGGACGCTCCTTAATTTGGCTGTACAAAAACTCAATAATTCCAGAATATGGTATTTAAGTATATATTTATAAATTCTAAAAATCATAACTTGAATAAATGTTTTATTGTAGGCTAAATTGGGGCGAGCATGTTTGGTGAATCAACCTGTATACCAATAATATACGTTGTTTTGGTGTTGGATCTCACGACTCTGCAGCATCTCTTCCAGTTCCCTGTCGCGTTCGACGATCTTTACTAGGTCAATGTTGAGGGCCCTGAGAAACGCTTCGATACGGCCCACCGATACTGCACTGTCTGGTTGCATTTGAGAGGCTGCCTTGCATATGTTCTCTAAATGCCCTATGCTCCTGTCGAAAGCACACCGATTGTTAATAAACCCTCAACCAGTGCATGTCATAATGCGACTTTGAGGATTAATACCATTTACATGCTTTGCCTCCGATTATAAGCGTACAACATTTTGTAATGATAGATTAAAATGAACTGACCTATCCATCAAACTTAAGAGTAATTTAAGTTAAGTTAAGAATATTATATAAAGTACCTCAATGCATTTCATTGATATTTAAATTTTAAAGCAACTTAAGATCATTTTAAAAATGTGGGTAATATTTACATAGGTACTATATAGTTATAATGAAAATTAAAATCATATGACGTGTCATAGATACTATTTTTACTTTTAAGTATAAAGATAGTTTAATTTACTCTAATATTAAATCTAATAACATAACATTTGTTCCGATGAATCCAAATTTGCTCTATCGTATGATTGTAAAACGGAAACAATACATGCAGATTTGGCGTGCTCTTAATCACTTACAATTTTATCATGTTCGTGTCTTTGATGGTTTGCAAAAGTGTTTGGATGTCTTCCGTGTAAGAACATTTGAACGAAACGATGTTTTGCTGCTCCTTCAATCGATTATTCCGGAAATTCATTGGTGCAGTGTCTTCTGTGTGTGTGTGTGAATTTATAATATATTATTATAGTATAAAGTATCATTAAGGCTGCTGGAGCATAGAATATTTTAAGTAGTAAAATTTAGGAAACTGTGCAAACATATAACTGTCAAATATTTGTCATTGGGTGAGTAGTAAATAAACCTTAGTGTGTGTAATACATTATCTGGGCCATTATCGTGTTACCGTAAAAACCCGTTAAAATCGGTACAAAATAGCTATAAGAGTATAAGCGGAAGATTAGTTTATGTACTTCCCGATGTCCGATTATTATTTTAAAAATGTGTATGAACTCATTATCCCCTTTACTGGGTTATGTAGGAAAAATAATTGATGTTTTAAAACTGAATGTAAGTGTATAAAATATTATTACTATAAATATAATTTTATAAAATTTTAACATATTTTTTAAGCCTTATTGAATACAAAAAAGCAAAAATCTGTTTCCTACGTAACCATAGAAAAGGAGATGATGAGTTCATATATATTTTTAAAATAATAATTGGACATCGGGAAGTACATAAACTAATCTTCCGCTTATTGGTCTAAAACTATAAAAAAATACGGTGTGCTCCAACAGCCTTAAGACGTATATATAGCATATGCCTGCAATAATAAATACGTGTTTCAATTAATGACATTTATGTAATCATAAATGTCGTCTGATGTCAAGCTAATAATTATGATATAATATATGATTTCAAGTACCTAGGTAGGTACCTATATGACATATGTAAGTATATGTAATATGTAAGTTATAATCAAAATTAATCAATTATTTCGTAAGCCTTGCAGTATTTTAAAATAACGAATAACTACAAAGATTAAATATTTCAATAACAGTCTATGTGATTTTTGACATTCTTTTCACTCAACATCCAACTACCCACCCACCTACCAAACTGTATATGGACCGCAGGATAGTCGCCACTGGTCGATTTAGGTGTAGTCCACAGTGATGAGACTTAATATTCCATTCGTCCACTGTTTTTAGTTAGTGTATTCACCGCAGAGAATCCTATTTACATAAAATCATAAGTCATGCGGGTACTCACTGAACTTTTCCAAAAATTGACAGAGTGTGAGGTAACCTTTTTGTTCCACATCCAATGTATCAAATACGATCTCCAATTGCTCCGGGGTCATCGACAGCTCGTCTTTTAATTTCTAAATAAAATATTTATTTTAACGAAACGAATAATATACAGCTAGAGAACTGAATAAATATATTACAATGATATATAATATATAGCTGTTATATATGATATAAATACTAAATGTAAAGTTTACATCTCTGGCATAAAATGTAGCATGTGAGGTACAATATTATTACAATATTACACATAGTTTATTATCGATTATATAATCACATTAATCAACATAAAAATATGTACCCTCCCCTTTTTTACCATGTGACCTCTAGACCAGCTACTGGATATTATACAGTAGGTACTGATATAAATCATACAGTTATTAGTGTGTTTAAGTACTCGCGTTCAATGGTTTTGTATAGGTATAGCGGTCGTAGATACTATAGGTATAGTGACAATGAACTATACAAGTCGCTTAACATTATGCCTCGCCGTTGGATCGTTCATTCAATTTTGTTACTTGTACGGACCACTGTATACAGGTGTCTACTGTGCAGTTCTATGAGAATTTATACATGATTTTTTTTTTCTTTAATATTTATTGTCTATACGGCGTAGTAGTATAATATACGTTATAATAGTAATAATATGTACCTACTTCGTCATTGGGCCGTCGTATAATATGCATATATTGCTTTCCGTGCGCGGGACAATAACTGTGTAGTTAGGACACAAATTACGATAATTATCATCGTTTGTTCGTTGTTTAATAATAATCGGGTGCATTATATAAAAAAATTATAGGTACCTATATACTATACCTACCTACCTATTTAGAATACGAAGCAGTAAAATAATTTGTTATGCGGCGCGTTATTGAGTCCGACTACGGACTGGTTTCGAGTTGTATATGCGCGTAGACCAGCTATAGCGAATCAAATTTAAGACGCCACACATTTCCCAGTATACCAAAATGTATGTAGGACAAAATTCCGATCGCCGAAACGAAATTATAAGATAGAAAGACATATTATAATAATCGTGTGCGTAAATAATAATCATCTGCAGAAAATGCGTCTCGTACGACGAGATTATTGTCACTATTATTGTTTTAGTCTCTTGAATCGGGTCGTTGAACGGACTGGAAAAGGTTGTTATCATTTTCCCGATATATATTTCCATTGCATGTAATACACGTGCGAGATTTACTTTTCTCGCGCTTAATTTATACGCACGCGACACAAACATTTTGAACAGTGTGTATACTCTATACAGCGTATACCTATACAATAATAATGTGCAATACACATATGTTTTATAGCTTTTTATTGTGCTGTTTGTAAGAATATATTTTGTTCGCGTTAAAATTTTGGTGTTAAATGGTTTCGAAGAATTCTATGGGAAACTGGGTACGACAACATGCGTGTTTAAACAAGTGTTCACCATTATTATAGGTGTAAAAATCGCTGGCGTGTATGTGGCAACTTTCAGCATAAACGATATAATATACCTACATTACCTGCCTAGCTTAAATTTAATTCATTATTCGCGATCGCATAATATATTTTTTTTTGAAATTCGGAATTTGGATGTACCTATATTCTAACCTATTGATATGAGAAGTTTTCAATATGCCTACGATCTGATAATGGACACGATTGTCGTAGTTCGACTATAGATAATATTATAATAATATAATATAATCAATACCTATATTATTATGGTTGACTATGTGATTTACTGTGGCTGTTGGGATGTGGATGTTATCGTTATAGTTAAATAAGTCTTAACTTATTTAGCTTGTTGTGCGATTATTATTAAGTGCTACGAGTATAAAGTATTAAGCAAGATAAGTACCTAAACGGACTAAAGATAAAAATATGTATTAAAATAAAACACCTAGCTACACTTAAAATACTAACCATAAAATGAACGTGATATAAAATACAAAAGTTATTTTTTAAGACCCTAAAATCACAACACTGTAGGTACCTACATATAGGTATATAATATTATAATATATGTGGGTGTATGGAGTGTATCACATTATGCCAATAACTATATTGACATTCACTCGTCACCGATAAAAACACAGGATTTGAATTTATTATGAAATTAGTTTTGAAAAAGGTATATAATATATACCTACCAGCTATTTGTGGCGCGTGCGTTTCTCGAGACTCAAAGAACTGCCAAAACGTCAATAAAAGTTTAAAAGTTGCGATCGATCACTATATAATATAGTGTCTTAATTATATTAAACTGTTTGTGAATCGATTGTAACTTTATATAGTGCCGATGACGACTCGTCTCTGACACTCGATTGATTCGTCTGACCAACGCAATAGAGTTTATCGTCACTCCACTCGTCTTAAATCCCACGTTATCTGTAGATATACCGCAGGAGCTTTATTGGCTTTATTGGCGAGATTATTTATTACATAGGTACCTATTAACAATATATAAAACTACAGTCGGTATAGCTTTCGGATTCGAGTCGGGCATATACGTAGCAGACTAATCGGTTCTAGACGAATAATACATTTTTTTTTTGTAAATAATGCGTTGTAATAATAATATCTATATACGCCATGAATAATTCCGAACTCAATTCATAATTTACCGACTAAGACACCAAACGTACGAGTCTCACGTATTTTTCTGCACTCGCGTGACGGTTGCAGCGACGCAACAGCAACGATGACCTGAACGAGTAAAGTCTATATAATACAATCAATGCATATTATAGACATCTACACTAGACGTATTCTTCTACTTATTATCATAATAAATTATTATCATCTGTTCGCTTACTTGCATGTCTCGCCTCACGATGAACCCCTTTCCCTCGGGGTCGCCGAGCTGAAAGAGTTTGTGTCCGATGGCCTCCATGGCGGAGGCGACCGACCGGCGCTTTTCCGATAATATTATTCTCGTCTCGGAACGCGGTCACGACCCGGTGCCGTGTGTCGAGCTCGCCGGTAGCAATAATGTACCGCGGTCGCGGTTGTCGCCGGTCGGGCGGCCAAGTATAGGAAGAGGCGGCGCGCACATAGCTGCGTTCGCGCGCGGCAGTCCAAGGCCGCGGGCGGTGAGCACGCGTCGTCGTCAAAATAGAGGACCGCCGTGCGACTTTTCTCAAAGTTTTTGCGCCGGACAAGCGACGACGTCACCGCCGCCGAGTATACAGAGTATACCTGTAGACGATGCTATAGTCGCGATTCATACGACACTCATATAGGTACTATTATAATAATATATAGGTAGTATATTGTAGGTATGTGTATATATTATATTACATAATATTATTATTATTTACTACGATTTATGATATAATCATTATTTATAGTGTGTGGTTTGACAATCAGCGAGGGTTTACCATTTGTTTGCCATTGTGCCGATATCGATAGTATAATATCATGTTAGGCCGAGTGCAAATGTTTCGATGCGTTGATCATCGGCTTATATAAATCGAGACGCCGTAACCGCACTCGATTGGAAACGCTCATCGACGAGTGCGAATTCATGTACGCGTGATTCTATATTAATATGTACTTTACCTATATTCCGTATTTTGCATAATATTATGCAACAATAGTATAATGTATCATATTATAGAGTGGTAGGTCTGCCGATAATTGTTAACGAGGATAACAATAACAAATTAATAATGTGTTATATAATGTAGGTAATGCTTGTTGTGTTATCAATTGCTTCGTATAGGTTTTGCCACAGAAATATATATCTATCATAATTCATAATCTAAGCTTTAAGACCTTGTATCATACGGTATTTACTGCATGTCATTGTACCTATGGCTGCACGCAGGTCCAAGGATTTAGAGTGACAGAAGCGGCACGTCCCTGGGGCCCAGTGTTTTGTCAGATTACAATTTTATAAAGTGGCAATTTATACTTTTTATGGTAAAAAAATATTACATTTTAATATAAACTAAAGAAAAAAGTGGGCAAGTGGTTAATGCTGTGCTGTATACGTTAGGTGTCTAGAGGAGTTACTGTAATTGATTTTTTAAATTTTAATTCAATGATATTTATACAATAATATTGTATACGAAAAACGAGGAAAGCGAAGAAAGTCTGTCAACGTATATTACTAAGTATATTTTATATTGTTGCTATTAAAGTAATTTATTTTACATTGCATTAGTGTAATGTTTTGATTTGTAGAAAATGACAGTAAAAACATATAGTAAAAATTGCATATACGTTTATTTTTTTTAGAGTTATAACAAAAAATAAAATTGACTTTTTCAAAAACTGATTTTGAGTTAGAATCTCAGTTTTTTCTTAATTATCTTTTACTGCAAAGTACCAACTAGATTTTCTTTCCTACCAGAAAACATGCTGAAGTAGAAAATCGAAACATTTTTACTGCCCCAAAAAGCGATGGCAGACACACAAATAAAACACACATCATTGAAAAAAAAGTACCTTCATCGCTCCTCTCAGAATCTAATATGTAAGTAGCCATATAGGTGGGTTTCCACTACATACATGTAAGTGTACGTGCATAAAAATACTTTTCTGTGATTGGTTGGTATATATAGTATGGTAATCTTTTGGTATACCAGAGTGTTATACGTTCTTACCACATGCTTGACCATGATACCATGAAGTTGGATTCAGTTCAACTTTTCACGTGTACATGGCTTTATATTGATAACAATATTGATTACCTACATAAGAATATATGAGGTAACTAATATGTTACCAATCCTAACCGATGGGAAACGTTTGTGAGACAGTTCATAGAGAACGTATTCGGTCAATATATGCACGTAAACGTACAAGTATGTAGTGGAAACCCACCTTAATACTATATTGTGTATATTTTGTATTATTGAGAAATAGTAGGTATCAGTGTACCACTTACCAGTACCATCTACAGTGTTTTTATCTGACAGTGTTTTCGACTGCTTTCCATTTTTATAATATTTGTACAATTTGTCCTCCGGAAGATGACGAGTGTCGACGACAACGACAATAATAATAAATGTTTTTTTTTTTATTAAACTTAAGCCCGGCAACTATGGTCATTAGTTGTTTGTTGTTTTGTTGGGGGCAGTTGGAACGGTCGTTTGAAACACGTTTTTAGGTTTGGCAGAATTTCAAGTTGGGCACCCGTAGGTTTCTGCCATACTTGGTCGGGGGATGGCGGCCTCACTCTCTAAACCAGCGTTTCTTAAACTGTGGGTCGTCGTGACCCACTGATGGGTCGTGAGTCAATTCTTGGTGGATGGCCAGAAGTTTTTTTAATTATATTGACTCTAAGAAATTTATTTTTTATATACCAATATTATATTTATTATAATTTATAAATTAATAAACTAATAAGTTATAGTTATAATAGTAATCTAATTTTGTTTTCAGGCTCATTTTTGATCTTATAAAGTTATAAATAAACCGTGGGCGGGTCAAGATAGATTTTCGGGGATAAATTTGGGTTGCCAGTTGCCTGCCCAGAGAGAGGAGCTGCCGGTGGTCGAGGTTCGAACCGGCGAAGGTTCGCTAGGCCACTCCGTCCCCCAATAAATGTTTTTGTTTTGTAATTTGTATCGAATGTTTTTATCATTGTTATAATCATAGCCATTTGGTTAAAATTAACTATTAAGTAAATCTGGCACACAGAAATAAGTAGGTATACAAATATGAGGTATTTAAATGTATAAAAAAATATATAGGTAGGTGCATATAGTAATGGCTGAAACAGCATTGAAGAAATAAAGAATAAAAAAAGGACATTTTTTTGTAAGACTCATAAATCACGGGATTTTCGAGAATTTTCTATTTTAAAAATACTAAACGGATATATTTACAAATTTTTATTATATCAATATCATTTAATTATTTTTAATATAATGATATAATTTAAAAGTGGAAATTTGTGTAAATATGAATATATTATCAACATTAAATACTTATAGGCATAACTATATTAGATTCTGAGCAAAGCGATCAATTATTATACTTCAGTAATATTTTACGTAATTATTAAAGTAATGAAAAAAATGTTTAAATTATTTTTAAAAAGTTAAAATTTTACTTAAAATGTGATAAAAGTAATAATATATGTATAATTAATATTTATACATTATGACTGGTATTATTTATTAAAAATGAGTACAATATGTAACTATAAGGAAATATAGTGCAAATAAGTGCAACCAATATTATAATGTTCGATACTTCAATAGGGATGAACATAAAATTATATTTTTTTCTCCATTTATGCTGGGGGTCCACGACTAAGTATCGTGTCTTATTATTATCTATGCTTATAGGCCCTTTAGAAATCTTAATCATTTGCTTTGCTAAACATGTATTCTCTACCACATGACCACCGCAAAGAATGAAGATGTTATGAAAATAGAAAGCTAAACTAGGTATGTATAATAAATAATTATACAAAAATAAAAATACTAGGGAAAGAACACTGAGTAATTATGTCTACAATTAGAACTCAATGATAAATCAATGCATGCAACGAAAAACGATTCTGAGCCAAGGAAAACGTCCGTCAGCCTATATCGCAAAAAAATAATTTGGGAATTTGACACATTTTAAATTCTAACGCTATAAAAATAATTGTTTCAATGTATTTTTGATATTTTAAATTGCAGTAAAAAATAACCTGTGATGAATCGTGTATTGATTTTTTACTCACAAACTAAAATTAAACCGTATATAAAATATCGAATAAAAATTTTAAAAAAATTCTAAATGTCAATAAATAACTCATAAAAAGCCTAAAAATAATAATATAAATATTTGGAAAAATTTGCAAGTTTCTTGCTTAGTAGGTAGATAGATTTTAAATTAGGTACAACAAAAAATCGAAAATCTTATTTTGTAAAAAACTGGTTTTGGATAATTTTTTTGATTAGATGTCGTGTAAAGTACATTTTGAGAAATTTCTACTTTTGATCGCCCCAAATACAAACATTATAAACTAGATGCAATTTGCTACAGAAAAGAAAAATGTGGCATTTTTTCTACTATAATAATAACTATAATAATACCTAAATGTCTTCAGACACACACATAAAAAATGAATACATTCATCGCTCTTCACAGAATCTAAAATGTATTTATTTAGTTTGTATTTTTATTTATTTATAAACTAATATTTTCCTTATTCTCCGTGGAAGAAAAGTAAAAAAATTAAAAATTACTTGTCAAGGTGACAGATAATCAACATAATATTTATCATAATACAATCATTAATTATTTTATTACAACTATAGTATAAATAGTAAATACCAAAGAAATGTTGTTATTAACTATTACGTTTTATACGATTTTTAAGGAGTAATCAAACGAAACTTGTTTCACCGGCCATAGTATTAGTACTCATTATACAGGGTACGGTAGTCAAATCCGACGATTTGAAAAAATCAAAAAAAGTATGTGTGTTACCAGTACGCGCGCGGGAAGTTAAACTTCTTTTGAATGGTACACGTGAGTGAGTGAAAAAGAAAGAAAATAGACCATAGACATATATATTGAGTAATATCAAATTATGTCATATCATTATACAATTGAACCATCAGAGTATTATATACTATTTGAAAAATATAGGTGCGTTGGTCATTGTAAATGTGTCAAATATTAACTAAATATTAATTATTATTATTATTATTATTTATTAAATACTTATAGTATAGTCATATAATATGATGAAATTCATCGAGTTATATTTTGAATATACATAATTTGACTCACCTAAAAATAGTATATTATATTATATTATATTATATTATCGCGCACTCTGGAATATTTATTATATATGCGTTTTCGCTTTTATCAACTTGACTACGGAATATTGTTTATACCATGATAAAATAACATGGTATGCTGGCAACTTTATGATAC